AAGAGAGAGAGTTTGACGACTTCTTTGCCAATTTGAATAGCTTTTATTTCTTTTTGTTGTCTGATTGCTGTTGCTAGGACTTCTAGTACTATGTTGAACAATAGTGGCCAGAGTGGGCATCCTTGACATGTTCCTGATCTTAAGGGAAAGGCTCTTAGCTTTTCCCCATTGAGGATGATATTTGCTGTGGGTTTTTCATGTAAAGCTTTTTAACTTATAAAATACTTTCATACACATTATGCCTTTTGATTCTCATAATATCTTGAAGTTTTTCTCTTTTTTATATCCAAAAGGGACTAGTGTATGCTTTTTCTTATGTCTTCCTAGCAATTCCAAGTCAAAGTAGCATAAAATTTATTTTTAAATGAATGAAGACAAGCAATAACAAGTATTAGCAAAGATACAAAGAACATGGAACCCTTGTGCACTGTTGGTGGGAATGTAAAATAGTGTAGCTGCTATGGAAAACAATATTGCAGTTCCTCAAGAAATTAAGCATAGAATTACTATAAGGTTGTGCAATTCCACTTCTGGGTATATACCCAAAAGAAGTGAAAGCAGGGACTCAAACATGTATTTGTATACCATGTTCATAGTAGCATTATTCACAGTAGCACAAAGGTGGAAACAGCCCAGATGCCCACCCACAGGTGAATGGCTAAACAATGTAGTATATGCATACAAAGGAGTATTTTTCATCCTTAAATAGGAAGGAAATTCTCATACCTATTGCTCCTGCCAAATGGTCTAATGTCATCAAATTTTAACTGCAGTTACCTTATATTCTAGCTCCCAAATGACTTGTAGTTTCCAAATGTGGCATGAATTCCGCCCCCCCGCCTTTTTTTCTTTGTTCAGGACTCTCTCATCCCCACTTACTCCCATCTTTTCTGGGAAACTCCTACTCTTATCCTAACAGCCTTTACAAGTGTCTCCCCTTCTCTGAAATCTTCTCTAACCAAACCTCATAGAGTGAATTACTTTTTCTTCTCACATAAGCATAGTTACTACAACTGTATTCATGTATATCACACTATATAATAATAATCTGCATTTCTGTCTCCCTCTGAAATATCCCCCTAAAATATCAGCTTCTTCAGGGCAGGAACTACTTGTTATTCATTTCTGTATTTTCAGCACCTAACACAGTTCCTGGAAAAATGGTGGGCATGTGATGATGATGATGATGATGATAGAAGATAGCATTTATTTAATATACTTACTATGTGCCAAATATTATTTGATATACTTTACACATAATAATTCATTTTAATCATTTTTTAAAGATTTATTTATTTATTTGACAGAGAGACACAGCGAAGAGGAAACACAAGCAGGGGGAGTGGGAGAGGGTGAAGCAGACTCCCCACTGAGCAGGGAGCCCGATGCGGGGCTTGATCCCAGGACCCCGGGATCATGACCTGAGCCAAAGGCAGACTCTTAACGACTGAGCCACCCAGGCGCCCCTCATTTTAATCATTATAACAATCCAGTCAATTAGTTGGATCCAGAGTGGTTACCTAGCTTCCCCAAAGTTGCTCAAAAATGTAGCAAGACTGGGATTTGAATCCAAACAGTGTGACTCCAGAATCTGTGTTCTTAACCATTATGCTATACAGCTGTGATGATCACAAGTATTAAAAATGGCTACACACATAAATTAAGTATTTAATTTCAGCTCCTTCTAAGCTTAAGCTGCTTTTGCCCTTAAGTAGCATTTATTTTGGAGGCATCGTATACATTGTTTTATTTGTTTGAGCTGCCATAGATATAATTCGATGTAGTATTCAAATAATTCCTTCAGGTAATTTTTTCCTTTTTAACAAAGTAAAGAAAGTAAGAAATCACCTATATAGCAAAGAGAAATTTACTTGGAAAATGTTTCCAGTATTCATGCCCACTACTTTTAGAGTTCTTGCTTCTATGGAGAACAATGAAGACTATGGTCTTGTGTTCGTATTTTAGGGAGATGGAATATCAGTCAAAACTTAAACATGCTGTACCCAGCTTTAAAGTTTTACTATATTGAGTACATGTGACTTCCTCATAGGCATAAACTAAAATTGTACAGCAGATCAAATAGGTTTATGTTTGACCCATTGCTGGGAGCAATGCCAGCATTTCTCTGTTTTGTATCATGACAGATACAATATTAAAAAACATAAGCCAAAACTCAGCCATAATTTTTAATAACTAAGTGTAAATGGTAGATTGTACATTTTTTAATTTGAGTAATAGTAATTATATTTGTGGCTAAGTTTTATTGGTTAATGTCCTAACTCTTTAATAAGAATCAAGGCGCCTGAGGGAGAAATAAGTCTGGTAGGTTTCAATGCTATATCATTTTTCCTTTCCTTCTTAATTTCTCCAGAAGTATACTTTACTTGCTTAATTTACTTTCTTCATAAGAGTGAATAGAGGCTGAATAATAGTATTACCATATTGATTAAATGATTTACTAACAAACACTATAGAGCCTATCTAGTTGACTGTTTTGATGACACCATTAAATTTCATTTGGTTTATTATAATATATCCCTGCAAAGTTGGAGTTTAACCATTCTCATATCTCTTTGTTGTGCCTGGGGAATCTTTGAGACATTATTTTTGCCAGCTCATACTTTTTACATTCATTCTATGAAGATAAAATATAAATAAAAACACTCAACAAACATTAAGAACCTTCTTTTACCAGACCCTCTTCTCCCCTGCAAAATTTCCATATTGTTTGTTTCTTAATAGCCATTCTTTCACTCTCTTCCATTTTTAAATTTCTTTTTGCAGCTTTCCTGAAACATGAAGATTTTCCTTTTCTTTCCATTTCTAGCTTTCCTTTCTCTGTGCCTCCTGTACACTTGGAGACTGCAGAGATGTAGCAGTGGGCATGCCAACCTCTCTACATCGCATCTCCGTCTGTAGTTGGGTCTCCCTGGTAATGAGAAAGCAGAAAGTGCTGAAGTAGCACATTCCGTAAGGACTGGCAAGAGTAAACAGTGCTGTGGCCCATACAGGAACAGCACTTGGTCCTCATGGTGCTGGAGAAACCAAAGAGAAGCATGCTGTGGAGAGCAGGAGACTCTTTCAGTTAAGGATGTAGACTTGGCAGATTTATTAGCAGCAATATTCTAGGATGAACCTAATTTACAGTTAGTAAATTCTTTTTTTCAGCTGGAAAAACCTTTAAAAATTGTTCCTTTCTCTTTCAGGAGGCCAGATGCTCCAGTGCCTGATGGTGAAGGTGAAAAAAATACAGAAGAAAGTTCAGACAGTGAATCTTCTTTTAGTGACTAAGCTTAATTTTGATAACAGTTACATATACATGTGTAGGTATACATTTACATTCTATAAGAAAGAGAACCTGAACTTGAACTCTAGTCATAAAAACATCAACTGGCCATATATCCACCGCCAAACCTCCTCTATGTTAAAAAAATAAAAATAAAGCATTTATAACCTGGCAGTATGTCTTGTTACCAAAATACAGGCCTATGACTGAAAAATAGAATAACCTAAATAAAGTGCTGTTAGTGCTACAAATACTAAGATGGGATATTTCAGGGATGAGGTGAGCATTGAAAATGAAGTCAATGAGTGAGTTCGGCGATCAATGATAGACTCATTGCAAAAAAAGTGAATTTGGCTAAGTGAGTTATTCAATTTTTGTGACTGTTTTAGCATGAAAAATATTATGTGCATTTGTATTGTAAGAGTAGTTAAGAAGTTTCTGACAGAGACTAATACCAGATTTAAATATTCTGTGACAACTTGAAGCTTATATGTCATAGAAAGTGTGAATTTGGAATTTATTGGTCATATTTGTTAGCATATAGAGCTTTTCACCACTTGTCCATTAGTTCCTATGCTATTAAAGTATCAGATATTCTTAGAATATTTATTATCAGATAGAAATTGAATTGAAGCTAGTTTCAATGTGTCTCAGAGTCAGCAAGCGTCTTGTGATCAGCTCTTTTATTGCCTAAACAGAAAAAAAAATATTTAAAATGCTGTCCTCACCTTACCAAATAATTCATGAAGAATTATTTGCACACAGTGTAGAAAATTTCTAAAATACTTACATGAAAAGATATATAAATGCATTTTATTAATGGTGCTCATCTTAGTTTATCCCACCTGAATGTAGACCCTGAGAAAAGGACTTGAGTGTAAGGATGTCATTTGTGAGGTAATCACAGGATGCAGAAGTGAGAGAACAGGAAGAGCAAGAGGAAGAAAACCAATACAAAAGTATATTATCAAGGTTGCCATTTTGGGCTCTAAGACCTGAGGAGCTTACAAAACGCCTCCCAAAAATGCCCACCTAATACAGATAGGATAATTATTAACCAGTTTCCATCCCCCATTAGTTGAAAGTTACCTCCAGGAGCATTGACTACCCCCGCACTTCTGGGCTGTACTTTTGTGTGGGAAGGCGGGCTTCCAACATTGAAAAAGGACTTGGAACAGAAAACAAAAAGATGCATGGCTCACACTTGTGGTGGGATTTCAGTAGCAAAAAAGGACAAGTCTGAGCTCAGAAATGTCAAGTGCATTTGTAGCTGATAGCAGAAGTTGACAAGGGAATGTGATGTTGGGCAAAAGAGGTGTGTGTTGCTGAATAGTTCTTGCCTATGCAGAGCTGCTTGAGTCCCATGTTAAGTCCACTCCATCACTGAGTCTTCAAGGTGGTGGTCAGCCACATTCTATAAAAGACTATTCAGAAGGATTAGACAAGCTACAGTTCCTGTTATTACTGAACCCAAGGCCAAAATATATTCATTATCTCCTTCCTCCTCCCCTCATTTGAGGTTTTCATTGCTCTCTGCCAGAAACTCAGCTGGTCTAGTTTGGTCGACTGCTAGAGCGAACCAGACCTTCATCTCTTCAGAGATCTACGGACTTGGTTACTTTGCCCTTTTTTAGGCTATGATTATCACAATTGTTTGTTTGCTGTTCTCACCAGCCTTGGAAACATCAAGACATGCCCCCGGTGAATCACCTGACACATCCTCACTGTTTCATTTTGTAGTCACATTCCTAGCTCCTCATGTTAACCAACATATTAATTCCCCTTTCTTGCCTGTTGTCCCACAGACATGAGCAGCCCAACAGGACCAGTTGGCAGCTGTAGCTTCAGTTTTGTGGAGTCCTTACAGTGCTTCCTGGTGGAAGTGTGCGAGCTTCTTCCCTTTACCCTGTCAGGATACAGGACCTCCAGTCCAGCAAAGCCTAAGGTGGTAGGAATGGGAAACACATTCTACAAGTAGCTCACTGGGAATGGTGGTAAGAAAGGCCAGTCCTATTTCTATCCTCTTGGTTCCTGCACCTCGCAGTTGGGGACATGGCATCATATATTGGCTATTGGTATAGTACATGTATCATGTCCTGGTAAGTGGGATCTTAATCCTACAGGATGTTATACCTGAGCTGATGCCTAAGCTGACCCTATAATAGGTCATTTCATTGTTCTAGATTAACTGCTTCTGGATAATGATGTATATGTAGATTCATTGATCTAATTGTTCATGTTCTTCATTTGCTATAAAACAGTTCATTTGGGGCGCCTGGGTGGCTCAGTCGTTAAGCGTCTGCCTTCAGCTCAGGTCATGATCCCAGGGTCCTGGGATTGAGCCCCGCATCGGGCTCCCTGCTCGG